TCATAATTTGTAGAATATTACTGAGTCCATCGTTGAAATTACACACCGCAATATCAGATGAAATAAGATTTTGGAGCCAAATTCCAAACAGTAGCATTAAAACTTTCGTTGCTATTTTGCGTGTAGCCTCCTAAGCAACGGTTTAGCAACTCATCTCGGCTCAACTCTTCATAAATCGGTTTGATGGCTACAAAAACTTCCTCAGGAAGCGGCGGGTTATGATGGAAGGTGTCCAAGGAATTCGCCGCTTGCGCTTTCTTCCAGTTACACCAAGACTCGGAGCATTTCTCGTGCTGCGGATTTTCGTCGGTTGACAACTTATGAAATAAGGTTGCCCAGATTTCATTTTTCATATTTTCCAAGGAATCCGGATTCCGACGTATAGCCAGGCCATAATAAATAGTTAATTGATCAATTAATTTGGCAGTTAATTTACCTTTTCCTCCGAGGCCTTTAACTTTTTTCTTCAGATTTCTCAATCGAGTGCCCATTCTCTTTTGTACATGATCAATGCACTCTTTCTTTTGTACTTCAAAGTTTTCGTACGGATTTTTATCCATTATTCCTTTGAAAGTTTTGCTATCACCATCACCGATATAATTTGCATATTTGAGATGGTGTAAAGTTTCGGAGCGTTGGAACATCTCTACGACAGAGTCTACCTCCATTTTACCAGCTGAGCCTTCATGATTTGCTTGACATTCATCGACGTGTGTTTTGTACCATTCTTCATACTTACTTGTTTCTAATTTATTCTTCCAGTGCTCACAAGACTTACAGTACTTTGACTTCACTTCAACATCGACGATTTTGCCTGTACGCCAGCCAATCAATGAGGTGATTCCAAAAAGCGATGAAAATCCGCGTTTCCTCCACGAGCCATCACCGGAAACAGTTGTCCCTTCAAGTTGTCCATTTTTTTCACTTTTCTCTTTCTCTTCTTGCGCTGCTTTCTTCATACTGCCCTCTCGTACGGTTGTTGTTGCGATCGAGATGATATCCACTAGTTTGTCGTAAAAAGATTGGAATATCGGTCGCGGCAATTCCATAAAAGCACAAAATTTTATTATTCCATTCAGTCCTATTCCCAGTAGTCGCATTGCCAACACGATTCGACGATTAATTTCATATGCATTTCGTATGAATTTGCTACTTGGAATAACAACATCAGGACAGTTCGGACAAACGATAACTATTTTGAAGCCTAAGCCCCGAGGACTTCTTTCGTGAAACGTGATGTCTGAATCACACGTTTTACACTTCACGTGTTGTGAAATGGCAGAGAAAACGGCAAAAAAATTTATAATTCTGTAGCTTAAATCATAATTAATATCGAATTCTTCATCACTGAATTTTAATTTCTTCGCAGAAGCACTGACTCCTGTCGGATCACTCTCAGTCTCATATCTATTCAACGGTCGTCTCGATGACACGTTGCTACGACGCCGCGTTGGATACGATATTTTCGTACCTTTCTTGCCCTGATATACTTTTGCATTACTCATTGTAACTTATAAGCAAATAAACAAATAATTTGTTCGATTACAAATAAATTGTTAAAAATCAGCACTACACACAAAAATCGTAATTTCAAGCGACGAAATTATGTCCTTTTTGTACACGAGTTGACTCTATACTAATGAATTATACCTGTCATTATAAATGCTTTATGACATGACAATGACATCTGTCAGTGTATTTGAGAAGATGGAAATCAAAAGGTAAGACGTTAGGCTGTACCTTCCCAGCGGGTATTCATCTGACGCAGGTATCATTTCGGAGCAGTCCGACGCGCTTGGGGAAGAGCTCGAAATTACAAGGAAAAAAAATTCTTTGAGATATGAAATATTTTTTCCCATATTCTAAAATGTTCAAACTATTTTTTAAACCTAAAAAAAAAATCGATTTTTTGAAAAATATACAGTGGTGTGTTAAGTTATCAATAGCCTGGCTCCTAACTATACTTAGGATATTATTAATTTTGTTTACATATTCACTAGCTAAAGTATCCCTGGACTTTACGTTTTGGTAAGGATCCCTGTGTTTGGATAAGTGAAATTTTATGTCCATATGCTTCATTCGATTGCTGAATCTATTCCTGTTTTTGACGTCTACGATTCCGCAAAAGCCTATCCGTGAATTGCCATATAGTTTCTTCGATTCCTGACGGTACCATGAGAAATTCACACTTTCACCTTCACTGCCATTCAACCGTCCGCTTCGNTTGGCTGGATATCTTCTTTATCGCCGGTCCCTTCGTCTATATCGTCTATAGCGTCATATTCAAGATCGTCATCCTCTATGAGGTTTTCTGCATTTTCCACCCATTGATTCAGTTCAACATTTGTATGAACCTCGCCATCAATTTGTGTCAGCATGTTTGAAATGTCTTGATAGCCTTGACTTACATGCTGCATTTTTTTTGTAATAAGCTTAGGGGAATCAGATCATCCGGCCCATAATCGGGTAAATTGCCTGATAAGAGTTTGTACCAACATTTTTCTAAAGAGTTGGTTGTCACTTTTTGCCATGAATTATGGAGTAAACAAACTGGTAGAGCTGTCGAGTTTTTGCCCCTAGTATTTCAAACGAAATAGGAATATGTTTACTTCGTTGTTTAGTAAACCAGGAATACAATTCTTTTTCCATCTCCGGATATTCCGCTTGGCGTAAGGTTTTACGACAACCTGGCCCAGAATGGCAAATTCCAATAAATCTGAAACATTGATGAGTAAATATCATTATCAAATGGATTGTTTCAAAATAAAATAATCTCACCTCCTTATTTTATCCTCATTTTTTCTTATGTCGGAAATAGTAGACAATCCGACGCCGTACTGTAGGGCAAGTGATTTACCACTAACACCACATTTTAATTTGACTAATATTTCACCCTTTTCTTTTATTGTCAAAGTAATATGTTTACGTTTTGCCATTCTGCACTACACACTACAGAAAACACGTCTGCCCTTCAAATAATCATAATATAAATGAGTAATCTCTTTCAAATAACATGATCAGACAAGTTAGAACCGATGACCTTGTATGTAACAGCCGCAATTTCGGATTACCGAATCATGCGATTCGGATTACAAGGTACATAATTTAAGCTTGGCGTCAATCCGGACTAGCAAAATATCCGGATTATCGTTCGCCGGATTATCGAGTCTCTACTGTATACAGTGGTGTTACCCCTTAATGTGTTTAAGAACTCGTTTTGCTGAATTTCGGAAAATTTTTGATAGTATGTGCTTGTCTTTAAGGATTGAATTTCACCAATACGTTTTCTATTAAGCAGCAGTACCAATCCTAAACTACACTCCGTTAAGCGTCTGTAGAATTTTCTAATTTCTCGATTGTCGTTTAGGGCTTGGCATGCTTCATTGGCTTCTTTCATTACGAATTTTTGAAATTTAATTACGTCTTCGGTAAGAGGTAATAGTTTGGGCTTTTCGTAATGTCTTTCATTCAAATTTTTTAAAGCCAAGCTAGATATGTCTGAATTCCAATGATTTTGCATTAACTTACATAGTTGTTTAATGTCTTTCAATGTGTTATCTGGATTATCACAGACAAATTGTGGACTCTGCTTTAAGATCATTTTTGTACCAATGTCACATATTTGTTTTAAAGTTGTACCCATATGGAGGGCTAAACTTGGTGATCTAAAAGTTCTTGTTTCTGCGCAATACCCGCTAATAATTCTTGTGGCCACAACAAAACTATCGAAAAAATTAGGTTTTAAGGCATTAAATAGTGTTTTTACACCGGTGGTATCCTTTAAGGTCATTAGTAGTCTCCCCAATTCACGCATCTTATTTGAAATGACGTTTCTAATTTGAACACGTTTATGTTTTTGTAATAAGCTTTCAGCGTAGCAACATATAAGAATATCTTTCATAACCGTTTTTGAAATTGCAACTTCGAATAAAAATCATTGTTGCCCCCTGAACACACGCTGTATAATTGAGCAATTGATAAATGTTGTTCCCTTGTAGTAGAAACTTGACTTTTTGATTGAATAATGCATTTTTTTCGGTGACGTCTTAAATATTGTCTGGCAACAATCCGGACATGCGACATAACTATCTTTCAATACTTTACCGTCTTTTTCAGAATTGGTTTGATTTGGTCGTGGTCTTCGAATAGGCCGAATTGTAGCATTTTCAGTGCTCAAAACAAAATTACCTTGTCGGCGAATGATTTTTAATAATTCGTTTCGTTTGGGATCCTTTATTCGTAAGGAGCTGAATTCTTTTACTGCTCCTTCATTTTTGTGATTTCGTGTTAAGTGCCGTGGAAAATGGGTAACATCTTTATAGCAATAAGGACATGCAGTTCTCTTTGTCCACTATCTCACATTTGTAAATTCTTCAATGGTGGATAATGGAGTTTGTACAAAGTTTCCAAATGATCGGATAACAGTATCTACATTAGCTGATGCTTTTACATTCCTAGCTGTAATACATATTCTGGCTCAGACAAATAAAATGCTTCAAACTTTTTCTCATAAAATATCAATAGACTAGTGTCAATGAAAATGATTTTGAACACTTTAAATAACTCGCGATACAATTTTCCCGTGCACAAACCCAATTTACAATAAATATCTTTATGGAATTAACTTAAAAGAGGTACAAGTTTTATTATTACCTACATTTTGAATTAAAAACATTTGAATTAGTGATATTATTAACAATGTCTAATAGAGAAAAATGTATAAATTTAAAGAAACAAGACATCATTATAATACAATTAATACTCCAATAACGTTTTTAATTAGTTGTAAATAAGGTTGTGCAGTATAATGATTTAAGTACCTTCCTGATTTGGTTGGGAGACTACATGGTCAGATATTGGATCATTCACTAAAGGTAGTGTATCAGCAAACATATCTGAAAATACTTTATTAACATATTCTATTTGAAAACGTAAGTGAACTAAATATTTGTTTTGATACAACTTCAACGCTATTTTTTAAAAAGGTGACAAACTTAAAATATAAAAGCGGAAAGTATTTGTTTAAAAATTTAAAAAATGTTCTCGTTACATTGTGTCTAATTTTCATTTCTTCGTTTCGTAACATTAATACGTATCATTAGAATAAATATATTGAAATATCTTTATAGCACCTCGTCATTTTTGATGCTCATTACAGCCAAACTTTAAGTTTAATTAAATAAAATTATTAGGCAAAAATATTCCCTATCTTAACGTGGGGTCGTCCATAACATGTATAATTTACCTTGATTACTTTCATCAATCTGGTACGTATTCTCTTCCTGACGTCACATCTTCGCTGTATGATTCTTTTTCAGCATTGTCCAATAATTGTAGTTCCTGATCAACTATTATTTTTTTCAGACTGCTATGTGGACGCGTGTTGTCTAATAAGATGCCTTGTTCTGATTCTTCCCTAAATAAATTTCTTTCTTTTTCCACAAATTTTTGGTGATCTTTTTGGACAGGTAAAGTTTTCTCTTCTTCATGTACATCCCTTTCCCTGTTATCGAATACCATTCCTTGCTTTATTTCTTCGCAAGCTACAGTTTTCTGCGTGCTATCTAGCAATAAATTATCTACCGATTCTTGACAAAGTTTATTTTTTTCTGTTTTGTCTAATAATTGTAAATCTGACTGGTGGATAGTTATATTTTCTTTTCGACTTCCTGATGGTAATTTCTGTTTCAATCCTCCAAAAATTAGTTCTTCTTCTGTATTCTGTTCTTTCTCTGTTCGTATTGAGTCATTATTATAATGGTGTACATCGTTGTGTACAATTTGTTTTTCCAATGATTCTTGTAATTTCCCGCTTCCACTACTATCTAATCAGTGGTTAAAAGAACAACACATATACATGGTATACAAAAAAAGAAATACAAGAAAATTGAAAATTATTAAAATGTTAAATCATGCGCTTTGGACGGTACTGCTTATCGTACGTGTCTTCGAAAGTCTCACGTTCTTCAACCGGCACAGATAAGCTTGTATTTCACATAGTTTATATAAAGTCTTATATTGCATATTTAAATGAAATGTATTAAGTAATCTTTCAGTAGATTGTGTACTGCGAGATTTGCAGTGGGGGGGTCAGATGTTTATAAAAAGTATTATTTTATCCCTGAAGATACAAATCCACAATTTGACCTATTTGTATTATCTAAAGATGAACATTGAACAATTGTTGGATATGATATTTTTTCACAAATTAACTGAGCCATTCTATTACCTATCTCTATTACAAATTCTTTGTTAGAATAATTCAACAATGGTACGTTAACTACACCTCTGTAGTCTTCGTTAATAACACCTGCTCCTATGTCTTTAGAATGATCGACGGCTAGTCCAGATCGTCGAGCATTTATTTCCTATCGGTAGTTGAATTTTAATTCCAGTATTAACAAGAGTTTGACCACGGGCTGGAACTTTGTCTATCATTTTCAAATCGATACCTGCAACCAAAGGTGTTTCTCTCATGAGAGGTTGACTATTGTCTGTTAAGGTAAAACATAATTTAAAATAGGAGAATCTATGATGCTATAATAAATTCAAAAACTATAAGCATGCAATAAAAGTAAAAATTAAAACAAAAATCACAACTTACCTACAGTTTCACTTATAGAGTAAAACGGTTTGGTAGTTAACATGGGAATTTTTGCGGGTTTTGTTGAGAAAGTACGAAAATTGTTGTATTGTAAACGTTATTAATGTTTTTGTTAACTGTAAATGTGGCAGAGTGGGGGGGGGATAATTTGAAGTAGTGCAGTTGTAAATTTGGAGCATAAATAACACTAAGAGCTTATTTGAGTCCATTTCCTTCCATTATATAGCCTATAGATCCAAGAAACGACATAAGCATTTGAAAACCACCTAGTCTTACAATGACGTTGGATATATCACATTGAACATCAGCAGCAGCTACAATTTCGCGAGCTTTATAGTAAAGTGGCTGATTAAAAGTAATGATGTAACAATTTTGTCCATGTGATTTGGCACTAAGTAATGGACAATCTAATGTGGTGTAAATTGTATCTTTATTACTTGCAAGATCATGAACAAAGGGTAGTAACATTACGGTCGATGTAATGGTATGAAACGCATATTGGAAACTTGAAATTCAACTCCCAAATATTTACAAACTGATCAAGGAAAAGAGTAGGGGAAGTATGTACAAAATGACATATAGTTTTGGTTTTTGGGTCAACTCTTTAATGGTAAATCATAGCGCATTCACATTGCACACCCGTAATCTTAGGTTTCATATCTTTGAATTATAATAGATACTTAAAAGATAAACAAACTAGAAAAAATAATAATTTTAAATTTAACTAAGATCAACGAAACCCATTTTATCCATATACTATGGACAAAATGGCATACCACATACAGACTAAATGACATACACGGCAGAAGTTATAAAATTAAAGGCAAAGTTCGCAAATGAACCGCTTGGTTCGTTTAGATACATCCGCGCAAGAAGCGTGGGCCCAATGCGAACATTTTAAACACCACAACCAGTCTTCTCCAAGTTTTGATCGCGAATAAATGTCGTTGCAATTAATGAATGCGCAAATCCTCTTGTCATCTTGAGCGTAGTTTGGCAGATTTTCTTCTTCGCTGTCTTCTTGGAATATGGCTTTGATAACCTTTCGTCTCTTCTTCTCTGGAGGAGCTTTAGGCTCATTTTTTGCCTTAATTTCTTTCATATTTGGAGTTGAAGTCAAAACTAAAGAGGTTTGCTGTTTCTTTGGCTTACGTTTGCCTTGGCCACTTACGTAATGTCCTTTTGGGACAGGAGATATAACTTCAATAGGCACTGCTAACGTATCTGTTGTTTGAACTGTTGTGTCATTATTGTCAGGTGTTACGGAGCGGATTATTTGTTGCTGAGTTTCAGAAGCTTGGAAATCGTTCGTTCCTAGAAGTGACATTAAATCGTCTAGCTGTTGTGTGGAGGGTCCTGCTATGGGAACTGGAATAGGACCTATTTGTTGATGATATTGCATATTGGAGGTATCTTCCAGTGGTATGTTTGTAGTCTCTGCAAGTTCGTACATATAATCGGGAAATATTTCAGGGTTTAGAGGCCAAATCCCAGTGCTTTTAAATCCGTTACAACCATTTTGCACTGTAGCTGCCTATCATCATCGGCGGAACAAAGGTACCAATAGCATTAGTAGTATAGCTATGTCGGAGCTGCGACAGTGGATGGCACGTCCATCCAGTTCTTACCATTGTTTCGTGTGAAGAGATGGCGGCGGGCGCTGAAGAAGTCTCAAGGTCATCCTTCGGCGTGTGATGGTGTGGTAAGATGATGAAGGTGTTAGGTATGCGATGAAGAGATGGCGTGCGGGCGGGCGGGCGCTGAAGATGAAGAAGTCTTTCAAGGTCATTCTTCGGCGCCCGATGGTGTGCTAAGTTGAGGGTCTGAGGTAGGACAAGCGGATGGCACGTCCATCCACTTCTTAGCATTGTTTTGTGTGAAGAGATGGCGGCCGGGGGGCTGAAGAAGAAGAAGTCTTTCAAGGTCATTCTTCGGCGCTCGATGGTGTGCTAAGATGAAGAAGTGTTTATAGACCACGCCCCTTTTGTCAGCCATATGAGAAGGCCGTTTGTTGATTATGAAGAGAGAGGGTGATGGTGCTGCTTGAAGAGGTCTTCGAAGGTGATTCTTTGATTTTTTTTTGCGCGGCGGCGATGGTGGTGGTGGAGGGCGGGCCGCGCATCGCGACACTCAAAGTTTTCTTTATTTGGTGTAGTTGATACTTTGGGTCGCAGAAGTTAGATGGCGTTGATAGTATTAAAATGAATAAATTATGCTGTTTGTTTACATACATTTTCTTTTTATATAAGTGTTTAGTTGACGGTTTTGAATGGAAGATGTCGTTGGTGGAATTAAAATGATAAAATTTTAATTACTTGGTGGTGATGGTTGAAATAAAACAGTGATATTTGTTTAATACATATATTAGAAATAGAGTAATTCATTGTTTACATTTATTTTTGTACTCGTTTGTACTATAGTTAATTTTCATTGAAATGTGATAAGAATTGGTTAAAGGAGGATGTGACTTCCTGTTATTTACTTTTGTTGTGTTATTTTCCTTATTACTATTGAGAAATAAATGTTTATGAATGTGAACACAGTTAGATATTGCACACATCGCAGTTTTAGAATTTATGTGTGACATACAAAGAGCCGGTCCCCTTTCTAATTTAGGTACCATACTATTAATTTGATTTATATCAATTACATTAGCTTTGGGTAGATAGTTTTTTACAAACAGGTGTTTTTGATGTCCTTTTACATATATTACATGCGAATTTGATAAATATCGTTTTAGAATACTGGCTACTTGGTTTACATTTACATAACCCTCATTGAAACAAATTCCATGATGATTGTTCTCTAGCCAAAGCACTTGTTTTCTAGTAGCAGATGATAGCTGCCTAATTGTACATGGTGACCGGAAGACAAAATGAGCTATACGATCTCCCTCATATATACATAATTCTTTTGGAACAAATTGTTTTAGTTCAGCAATATGAAACCCTTGCACATCTAGAATGGTAACAGTCATCTTGATTTCTAAGCGGAGACTGATTAGTTATGCGAATAAATTAATGATTTATAGCAAATTTCGTACGATATTTGTAAGAGGTAGATATTCAACTATACAGTCGTGTACAATAATGCAGTATGCTTTTGTATTAGGAGGAAAAACTTCTCTACTTTGAAATTCTAATTTTACATCAACGGTTGATGATTTGATTGCATCATTTTGTTTTGTAGTGTCAATGACAAAGATTGGATTATTTTTAAATAATGCATATGAGATTAACGGTTCCGGATGGATTTTATTAAAATAACTTTTTTGGAAATCGATGTACATCTGATATGCTTCAGTGTAACGGTTCTTACTAAAGTCCATTTTAAGAGACTCATACGGATAACATTCAGAATTTAAATATAAACGTAAATCCATTAAATTTATGTTATCAAAATCTGTTATATCTTTTAACGTATTATCACGTTTTTCAGTTTGAAACATAACTATTACATAACGAGGTCTTTCAATACTCGTACTTGTTTTAACAACCCAAACATCTTTATCAGTATTACGTAATGCAGGTAACTGATGCAATTCCCATCGTCTAAATGGTATTATTATGGGCTTATTCTGACCTATTTGTTCCAATAGTCGTAATTTAACTGCATCGTTTGGATATATATGTTTTACACGTAACTCAATGTTTGAAATTGAAAAGGTTAATTTCTTTGCTATGTTGCTTGTTTTATAACAATTGGCATCAGTGTGCGAACGAACTAATCTAATTTTATGACGCCCACACAAAACTTTTCGATAGTCGTTAAATAAACCGAAAAGGAAATTCAAGGGTATACGGAATAAAAACTGCTGCTTTTGTTCACTAATTAATTGTCCTTCAATGTTATCCATGTAGTTCCAGCTGGCAATGTCAAGTGCTCGACATTGATTTCTATTGTACAATAACAAGGCTCTCGCAGTACTTGTCATACCAGGATCGCGCACTCTATCCACTTCAATGCCATTTAATTCATAACTTATATATTCAAAGAGGTCGCACCTGCGTTATTAGTTAATTTTATGTGAGCCTGAGGTGCTTCACCACTTATTTCAACAGTAACATCGATAATTAACGCAGCATCACTCATATCTAAAAATGCATCCTGTTGATTAATATTTATCTCACATTCGTCGCTGTTGTTGTACGCTTTTGTTTCAGTTGGATACGTATGTACTTCTTCTTTTGTAATTGACTCATCGTAGATGGGGTTGGTGAACAGTTGTAATTTACTTTCCATTTTCCCTGACTTTTAATCCTATGCTTTCTAAGAAATTTCGGTTAACTGATGAAAGTTTTTGATGAGAAGGAGACCAACGATGTGTCTTAATTGGTGTTCTAGCACCGAATGCATAATTAGTATTAATAACGGTTGATTTATGCATACCTTCTCCCATATTATTATTATTATAATTATTAATTGGTTGTGTAACTGCTTCATTGTTAATAAATAGCAGACCCATTTTGCTTCTTCAATTCCAATCGAACAATGATTTCTTCTCCTCGAAAGTTAATTAACTGTGAATTTTGATCAACTACCTTTATTGTAATATTACTAATTGATCGACGATTATCAATTGGTAGAAAGTTTTTCCGTTCAATATTGATTGAATAGCCTGGATCAACTGTTGGTGTGAATTCATATACTGTATGACAGGGTGATCCGTTGCAGTATGAACTAGGACCTATTTGTTGATGATATTGCATATTGGAGGTATCTTCCAGTGGTATGTTTGTAGTCTCTGCAAGTTCGTACATATAATCGGGAAATATTTCAGGGTTTAGAGGCCAAATCCCAGTGCTTTTAAATCCGTTACAACCATTTNCTCGAAAGTTAATTAACTGTGAATTTTGATCAACTACCTTTATTGTAATATTACTAATTGATCGACGATTATCAATTGGTAGAAACGTTAAGTTTTTCGGTTCAATATTGATTGAATAGCCTGGATCAACTGTTGGTGTGAATTCATATACTGTATGACAGGGTGATCCGTTGCAGTATGAACCAATAACAATGTTGCACTCGATGCGTATTGTTGACACCTGAATTATATTGACAGGTAAATCAGATTCGTGTAGGACGTTTTCTTTTAAAATTCCAGGAGAAAACCCTAATAGTGTTCCAATACTGTCTTTGTGGTTAAAATTTACTTTGTATTTACACTTTAGTTCAGATCTTAAGGTATTATTATTAGGCTTTAGACTTAGATGATTGTTACGTTCGCTGAAATTACTGTGTGGTGGTGATATTTGAAATTGTAGATAATTCTCGATGTCAGAAATTTCGAAAGATCCTGTTGGGATACTGATGACGCTTTCATCACCAGAGCTGTTATAATAGTAAAATTTATTGTTGACACCCTCTTGTATATTAGGAATGCTGTTGTATGTATGAAAACCGATAAGAGCAATTGAATACTCATAACGACTATCTAACTCTATCGGAGGATAAAAGTCTACCGAAAGAACACTGCTCTTACCTATCAATGTGAACGTTTGTGACATGACTAATCGAAAATAACTATAGGTATGAATTTTTATAGAGAAATTCTAAACATAAATGACCACAATTATAAGTATTATATGTCTGATATGAATCAAAATTATAATGAATTTGATTGGATGCTGAAGAAGATGACTGCTGCCAATATCTTATCAGTTCAGGAGGAGGTTTCAGATTACCAAAACTATCGAAGTAATTAATGTTTCTATTCCTTTTTATGTAACAACAAAAATGAGTTCCTGGATTGGTGCTCTTATCTAAATTGATTACGGCGCTTTCGTATTTTCTTGCACCGTTATTTGGAAAGTCCCTTACACCATCTCATTTACCTAAATCTATTATCAATAAAAGAAAGTGAGGAATTTTTAATTTTCGAGCAAACATATCCACTTCGTTGTTGGTTAGCGCACGTGCAGGAAGGATTAATGGAGGTTTTTTTTTTTTAAATACAATCCCATTCCGGACTTAAACGGTTTTAAATAAAGTCCGCTTCCTTTTTTTCCGAGAGATATGGCTTCTATTGTTTGATTATGACGTTTAGCTTCTTCCAGTTGTTTCTTCGCTTCTTTTGCATCGTTAACTGCCTTAACCACATTAGCAACACTTCCAGTAAGTCCTCCAATTGCAGATATTCCTGCTAGAATTGCAGGAATCAGTGGTAAAAATCCTCCAGTCTTTGGTATTGGAATAATGCGCGGTACCCGAATTTTCTTACGACCTCCCGCATCTTTTACATACTGTCTTGCCGCTTTTACTGCGTGTGTAGATAATGCTTTTATATCAGTAGTATTATTTAATTTTTTAATTATATCGGATACTTTGTTCACTATTGCTTTACGAAAAGCCTGCTTCCGCGGTTTTATTTTAGATACTCCTCTTCCACTCTTATTCTTCTTCTTCTTCTTAATGCATTTATTTAATTGGGTCTTTAAAGACGTTTTAGACCATCCGTTTTATTTCTTTCCACGCATAGAGGCTGTAGCTACCTCGAGTTTTTTGGTGGACGACATCTCAGAAACGGTTAGAGATAGGTTTCTGAAAACGTCATAAATCGTCGTATCGCATGCTTTAAAGACGTTTTAGACCATCCGTTTTATTCTCATTCATTTTCATTATGGTCAAAGCATGCTAATATCAACTTTCAAATGAAGAGAGAGAACGCAAATATTGTCCTTAGTAAATTTTCAAGAAAACATAACTACAGCGAAACTGTCAATATGCAATGTTCTTCTTTCGATGGCGAGGGAGGGGTCCTGGCTCATGCAAGTTTTCCTTCAGGGTATAAAAAACAACTAGAAATACATTTGGATGCTGAAGAAAATTGGGATCCATCTTTTATGACGCATGCTAACAATGTGGATATAATAATTTAGTACTTTTACATGAAATTGGACATACATTGGGTATTGCTCATTCTGACGCAAATGAAAGTATTATGAATCCTTTTTATTCCGTACCTCAAAATATTTCAAGTCTTCTTTATTTTGACTTGTATGAAGATGATGTTAAAGCAATTCAAAAGTTGTATGGAAAATCTTCTAGTAGTGGTTATTATCCACTATCACCACCCACAACTATCACTTCATCTACTACAAAAAATCCAACAAATGCAAGTACAACTGCTAAACCGGTATATACTTCAGCTTTACCTAAACATACAACAGTATCTGTTATACCAGATGGAGCAGTACNTTTTATTGCCTAACTCAATAAGAGCGATAATAAGTGGCCCGAGTGGGTGTGGTAAAACGAATATAATGTTCAGTTTGCTTTTTGATTTAAACGGTTTACGATTTGCAAATATTTACGTTTATTCAAAATCATTGTATAAGCCCAAGTATGAACTATTGAAGGAGGTTATGGGAAACATTAAAGGTTTAGGTTATTTTCCCTATGATGATAACGAAACGATAATTGATACGTCAGAGGCGAGAGAAAATTCAATCTTCATTTTCGATGATATTGCCTCTTCGAAACAGGATAAAATAAAAAATTACTTTAGTATGTCTCGACATAAGAATATTGATTGTTTCTATCTCTGTCAAACGTACACTTGCATACCAAAGCATCTAATTCGTGATAATGTTAATTTTTTAATTCTATTTAAACAAGACGATTTAAATTTAAGGCATATATATAATGACCATGTTAATACTGATATGTCTTTCGATAAGTTCAAAGATATATGTATGAATTGTTGGAAACAAAACAAATATGGAGTTTTGGTTATTGTTAAAGAAAATGATCTAAACAAAGGTCGTTATCGTTATGGATTTGATAAATACATCATGATGTAATCTTAACTATCATTTCACATCAATCACTTTCATTGTAAACAGTGCATTATAAAAAGAATGAAGGCTAACACAGATAAATTAGTCAAGAAAAAACTGATACAGTTATCAAAGGCTGTAAGACAAAAGTATTTAAGTTTAAAATTGGGACGGGAACAGGAAAATCAATCTATTAAACGAATGCTAACACCGGTTATCGAACCCCTTTCTAAAATAGTTGACAAAACATCAGAACAACAGATAGATGTTAAAAAAGAAGAAATACCATCACCTTCAACAGTTATAAAAAAACAACGACTATCAACCTACTCTCTCCCATCACACATTAATAAAAAGAAGAAAAATGATGACATTAACATTGACAGGAATGAGCAGGAAGAAGAGGAGGAAGTATTTGAAAATGTTGCTACTGCATCCACACCGATATCAACACCAATAGCGACAGACTGGGAAACAGCCCCACTAGAAGAAGTTCGTAGAAGTTTTCGGGAAATGATGGATGAAAAAGTGCGTGCCGAGTATTTAGAACAATATCCACAACTAGCTAGGGGATACATAGAGGGATTTCTAAAAGATTATCTTAATGAATATGACACCACATATGGTATTAGCTTTAACTCACAACTTGAAAAATGGATGATGGGAGATAGTGAAATGACCTTTGATAAAGATAGTAACATATTTATTAAAAATAAACCGTTTCGCGGAACACCAGGTTTATATGAACTGTTATTTAAGAAACAACCTGCAGGATATAAATCAGAAGACAAGAAACAATATAAAGAGATTTTGGAATTGACAAATGCCCTTCATCGTGATTTTGATCCAAAGAAACAACTAAGAGAGGGGAAATCTTTTAAATATGTACACATAATTAAACCATTATTTGGAAAGTCCCTTACACCATCTCATTTACCTAAATCTATTATCAATAAAAGTCGAAGTAAATCTACACCAGGTGGAGAAGGATTTGAAGATAAAATGTACACTAATATGACATATAACAGAAAACCTGTAGAGTATGTCTATTTTGATGACATCAACGAGATAGTTGATCGTTTCCGATTACTTTTGGCTTCACAGGCGGCTGGAAATTATTCACATACCAATGAAATCGTTTCAATAATTTCAGAATTAAGGGAGGCAGGTGTAGTGGTATAAGAAACATAAATAAAATGACAAACATCCATAGGTCAGTGGTCATTATTAGCATGAGTGTCAACAAATTCGGACAATCCAAACAGCTCGATTCCGAGGCAATAGGTAGTGGAGGAATTAATAATAAACGATTTGGGTTTTTATTTACCGCAGGAGGTGATCTGGATATAGAAAATCGACGAATATGTAATGTCAAGTCACCTGTTGATCCTAGTGATGCTGTCAATAAAAATTATGTGGAAAACCTGTTGAAACTTGTTCAGAACAGGATTGAGCTTATTATTAAATCGGTACCGCAAATGATTGATTCTAAACTGACCATAGCCGTAGGTAATTTGGAGAAAAAGGTAGAAGAACAAATTCGATTGGATTTTGAAAGAGAAAATGAAAATAAAAAAGTGGTATTCCTTAATGCGTTAGATCAACACAAAACAGAACTAGTGAATTATTTTAATGAAAAATTAAGAAGCGAATTTGAAAAAATTGAATATTTTCTCGATTTTCAAAATAAACGCATAACTGCCGGTTTTCACGCCGTAAACAAAAGTTATGTTGATATTAAGGATAAAACAACAAAACAACAAATTATTGCTGAATGTGAAAAAGGCACACAGGATGTTAAACATCATGTAGATCAAAATATGCAAACGATGCGAGAAGATTTATTCACAAGCATCGATTCTCTACGAACTGAAGTTAAAGCACTTGAAAAGGAACTTTTTAAAATTCAACCGCAACCAACTCCGCTATCTATAGCATCAGCATCTCATTAGCTTATTTTATATAATAATTCAAATCATTCCGTTTCGGTTTAGTATCACTGAAGTCATGGACA